TTATTATATATATATATATATATATATATATATATATATTTACTTTTTTTAATCAATGAAATTTTTTTTACTAAAATACTATTTAAACAATTAAAATTTTGCCGATTTTTGCTTGCTTGTTATTTATGCAGCTTAATGAGCCATTACGCGTGTGCCTGCCCCCTGGTGGTTGGCTGACTCCTGGTTGAGAAAATTCTGGATTAGAAATGCAGTAGAGCCCGCATTCGAAACGCAAATATTGTTGACAATCACACTGAAAACAGGTGAGACAAAATAAATGAAAAATTCCCTAAAATATGTGAAGTTTTCATAACAATTGGCTTTAAGTGCCAAATAAAAGTTTTCTTATCTTATCTTGAAATTTCACTTTTATGGTCAAATTTTATAATTTCCTGAATAGAGGGAAATGTTAAATAAAAGCAACATTAACTACTAAATAATACTAAGCAATTTCATTTGATTGTGTAAATGTATTTTCCTTTAGCTGCCATTTCAAACGCGATAAGGGATCTGTTGCGTTTGCATTTTCACGACCAGATTTAATTGCCGTTTATTTTTCATGAACAAACCACTTGGACGTGCAATTTAGTACAAAAAGCGCGATACAAATGACGATATGATTGTACAGCATGTCACTTGGCTCAAATGAAAACATTGAAACGAGAGCCAAAAGTTGAATGAAAAGTGTTTTCGTCTGCCGGGTGTGCTGTTCAAAAGCATCAAGGTAAAATCTGCATGACCTCACATATTGCAAAACTTTCATTTCGAGCACGAGCAGGTGACTAATCCGCCAGACGGAAGTGACTTGAGAGCTGCTCACCCAAACATGAAATGGATATTCTGGCTAATCCCCAATTACGCGACACCATCCAACCACATTGGCCACAACTGGCTGTATGACGAAAGAGGAAAGAATGGCAGAGGAGAAATCGCTTCCTGCGATTGGGATGACATCATACAGGAAATGAGGTCTCGGAGAGCAGGAAGTGTGGAAAGTTATAGCCACAAAAACCTAAACTGCACTTCTTCATCACTGCTCGAACAATAAAATTCCCTCCAATTACGGTCTGACATTCGCTGACCCTGTGATGACCTTCACGAGTGACCTTCGCCGGGCGGATGACATCAGGAGTACAAAGCACACAGCTTCCTTTATGCGGCTCAAGGGCGTCTTTGTGTGTACTGATGAGTTTGCGGTGAGTGGCTTCATGACAATGCGTGTGATCGGTGGCGTGCAAAGCTGGGAGGGGCCATTGGGGTTATTTGTGGCATCAGTTTGAGACTTCACAAAATGAAGGCGCTGTACCACAATATAGCAATCATAAATCATAAACTGGAGCCTAGTTGTAATTTACAATGAACAAAATGGAAAGGAGAACACAAGTTGCTTCATGTTCCTCTTTGTTTGCTCTTAATTTGAAAAGAAAACAGGACTGAATTGCTAATGCCACCGATTGGCAGAAAATTGATCTCAACACAAATCCGGCTCAATGTTTTTACATTCCTTTTTTACCGTATAGTATCTTTTTAACTTCAAATAACTTCAGAAATTTGGAAAATCACAGTATCACTGGGCTAAAACTGAAATAACGTATTTGTATAATGTAAACATACCGTATTTTTCCATTAAAATTTTTTTATTTTTTTCCGTACAACCTATCACCAATTATTCCTTGAAAAACTCACCAATTTGCATTATTTATTTTTTTGTCGTGCTTTTTTTGAAACTCCCAAAGATGCCAACCAAAGACCTGGCTAATAGGAAAGTAGTAAAATAATTGGTGTGAATAGTACTTTTACTCAACCAAATACCCTGTAAGCCATTTATTTTTTCAGGCTATTGCAGTAATATAAGTAGAATTTTTTTCGGGGATCATATTTTACATCAATTTACATTTAAACAATCAATATAGGCCATTACGTCAGTATTTCTGGCAGCGCTCAGACTCTATTACTGTAATTAGGGGAGAGGGGGAGGGCTTGTGTGTCCCTTCCACCACCCCCTGCCCC